TGTCCCCTTAGTCCCTTACCCTACCTTTTACAAATTTGCCGTGTCCCGTAAACGTATCCGTACTCATGCAAACCTAAGTCATAATTGTAAGATGCTAGTAGGATCAACTATATCGTTGTCAGTAGTTGCACATGTTTCAAGCAATCTAATCCATTTTCTAGCAAGAATTAGAGCTTTGAATCATTAAAAGAACTTACCAACATATTATCAGATATTGGAAACATGTTTTGATTGGATATTTTTAATTTTCAAGGAGTTACACGAGTATTTATGCATAAACAACTAATGGATTTCATAGGTACGTTTATCTTCTTCTTAAAAATTTAGCTCTCTTCTGTAGCAATCTTGCCTACTTGGGAATGTTAGATTTAAGTTTTCTTCGAAGTCAATTAAGTCTTTTCTGACATACATATTATTTCATCTGTCTTGTAGAAATATTGGGTAGAGAAAAAATCTGGATGCAACTGTTTCATGCTGTTTGCAAGAGGCCTATTGATAACTTGGAGTGAGAACCAGAACTTTTGGCAATGGGTCTCTCTGAAAGAAACCGGGTGACTTTCTTATTTATCTATTTACCAATAATCCTCAATAGTTATTATAATTGTTAGAATTTATACTGTTTAATTCAACTGTACTAGCTTAGACTGTTGAATTCAATACTAAAAATTTTATTTTCCCAGTGATGAGGAGATCGAAATTGCAAGCCTCTTAAATGTATGTTGGCTAGAAGTTCATGGAAGATTTGAGACATCATACCTCACACCAGGAATCATGTATGAAGTTGTGTTCATGGTCATGATGGAGCCAGGATATGGATGGGCTAAGCCAGTTAACCTCAGGCTCAGGCTCCCAAATGGATATGTGAAACAAAGTGAACTATGCTTAATAGAAATTCCTAAAAGGCAGTGGACTGAGCTCAAAGTTGGAGAGTTCATGGCAGAAAGCAATCTGGCAGGTGAAATGGAGTTTTCCTTGTATGAGTATGAAGGGGGTCACTGGAAAAGAGGGCTTACTATTAAAGGAGCCGTTATTCGACCAAAGAAGTGATTTAATTACATCTGGCAATAAAAACTCATGGATATGTAATATTAGTAGCGTAATGCTGGACTGGAGTTTGGTACTTGCAAGCTACTTTATACCTGAATAAAATATCTTTCTCCACTTTAAGTTTGCAACTGTGTTTCTCATATATTTCCTTGACATCTGGTGGGTACCATGACAAATATAGAATAGTTCCATTAACTTCATTGTTTTATGTTAATATGTTTCATGATTTTATCATTTAGTATAACATAATTGTTGCAACTTTTGTTACAGACGCCGAGCCTAACCAATAGGGGTGCTCAAGTATTGGCCTTATTCAACACTTTGACCATATTTCCTACAGCTTTGCAACTCAACTTCGTGCTCGAGCATATTCTAAGCCCCTTGCAAAATGCATTATGTGGAATGTCCATCCACATATCGTATTTACTAAGCTTGATTTTGTTATGCCCTCTATGAAACCGTACTTTATACTTAACTAAAAGGTGCCTCTTTCGTTTCGTTTTTCAACTCCTCTTATATTTCTCCTTAACATCTTCTGGTTCATATAGGCAAGTCAAAACTATCAACTAGCACTCTTATTGCTTTGTTTTCATCATTAAGCAGATGGATATTTGCATCTTCAATTATGGGCATCAAGTGAATGCAGAAAACAGATAAGCATCAATCCTACGCAATGGCGGGTGCTCATCTATTGACCTGTAGAACTATTCAATCACCAAAAGTTCAACGCTGTTCCCATAATTTGGCAAGTTAAACTCACTTTAGTTTTAATCCTACCTTAACGGTTTAGTGGATGTTGCCAACCATCTGGCTCCAAATTTTCAACTCTTCTCATGGATGTCAAAACAAGGGCTTAGTCAAATAGCAACTAATATCTACATTTTGTCGACAGAAATTTTCCTCAGGGTAATCTTCACACATATCCCAAAACATATGACCAATATACATAAAAGAGCATGGTAAGTTAAAATACGGCCAACACTAGTATGATTAAAAAAAAAATATCAAAACCTTGCGATTCATAACAACGGAGCAACCATACCTGCCAACATTCAGCAACATTGCAAGAATCGCTTCCATATCCTCACCAGTGCAGGACTTCAGTGCTACGTAATCTTCGCTAATCTCCACAATCCAACTCAAGTTTCCCAAAAACCACTGCATTTTCATTATTGCCGCGACAAAGCACCAGAACAAAATTAATGCGCTTATCATTGCCTTGCCTAATTTAAATAATCCATAGTCCGCTAGCCCAAAAGATTGGATTAAAAAAATTCCCTGCCAATAGCCTCAGCATTTGAGAATAAAGTATCTCAAGTGCTCATTTTTGACCGATTTCGGACGGAATGATGTTTTGATCTTATTGAGGGATTTTGGCGAGGAGGAGGAGAGAAGAGGGGGAGTTGGGCTACGCAACGAGAACGCACGAAGCACATTAGCACAAGGACTGGGCTTGTGAGGAGGTCGGCCCATTTCTCCCTCGCTGTAAGGGTTAATTTCTGCAACCCCTACATTTGGGGTGGCTGCAGATGACCCCCTCAACTAATTCAATTCCCAGAAAACTCCCCTAAACTTTGGGAATGTTGCAGAGAACCCCCTTGAACTTTTTTTATTCTACAAAGCTCTCTTAAACTTTGGAGTGTCTTACGTAAATGCCCCCTGGACATTGAACTTTTCTTACCAGACCTCTTATTGTAATTTGATAAATAACAAAAAATGTTATCGAGAGAGAAAAAAAATCTGAACTTACTTTGGGTTAATTTCACATAACCCCCCAGAACTTTGGGGGATGTTACACATGACCTCCCCTGGACTTTGTTTGTCATAACCCCTCTGAATTTTGAGTGTGTCTCGCAACCCCGAACTTTACCTTATCTCACCCAACCCTCTCTATATGTAAGTTTTGAATAACTAAAATATGTTTGTGAGAAAAAAATCACAAACTTTATCACTCAGTCATTTACAGGCAATATATGTCCTCTCCTAACTCTTGGATCTTTTCTTCTGAAGAAAATTTTAGTTATTTGTGAATTACATGTGGGGAGGGGGCGGTGAGAAAAATTCAAAGTCAGAGAGTTTTATGAGACACATTGAAAGATTGGGGGGTGATGTAAGATAAACAAAGTTTGACGGGTAGGTGCAACACCTCTAAAAATTAGGGGAGGGGGTGTAAAATCATCCCTTTAAATATTTTTCATTTGCATTCAATATTATCTCCTCTTCCGTGACATCCGAGTTCTTCTTGAAGGGCATATAGTGTGGTAATAAATTGTTTAAATTGAGGGGGTTTTGACACTCCCAAGTTCAGGGGTTTCCTTCATTTAAAATAGTGGAGGGTTATCCCCAACGGATTGGGATCCTCTCCTAAGGAACAGTGGTTCCTAACATTTCCTAATGGATCTCAACCATTGATTTTGTGTATGGGCACAAAAAACAAGGTGGTCCTAAGTAATCAATGGTTGAGATCCATTAGGAAATGTTAGGAACCACTGTTCCTTAGGAGAGGATCCCAATCCATCTCCAACACCACCAAGTTAAGTTTTTTTTTTTTAATTAACTCGTTTTAAAACATTGTGGAAAATATAATTAAATTGTTTATAAAAAAAGGGTTTTATCTACAATCTGCCCAATAAAAAAGGAAAAATTCTCCAAGGACCTAAAATATGGGATTAACAGGGGGACATGTGAGATGTTCCCCTCCTATTGCATAATGAGTTGGTGATCATTAATGATCACCAACTCATTATACAATACTAGGGGAACATCTCACATGTTCTTCTTATTAATCCCATAGGGTCTCTGTAGCAAAACCCATAAAAAAGTGAAGAAAGCTGTACGGAGGGGAAGTCACGTGGCTTTGCGCGTGTTTCGGGGAATATGCCTCTTTCAGTTCCCTCCCAACATTCGCAGATGCTTAATAAAAATAAATAAATAAATAAATAAAACAGGAAGCGGGCCTCGCCCCATCTTCCGGTACGATTCTCCCTTTTTCTTACCAAAATAAAATCCTAAAATAATAAAACTCCCTCTAATTCGTTCAAACCCTACTCCCCAATCTGGTACGCTCCTCACTCACTCAATTTCTTTTCGTTCTAAATTCTTATTTATATCTTTTTTATATAATGCCAATGTGAAATGTACATGGGTTTGTTTGATTTTGGTATATCGCACTGCTGAAATTTTTATGAAGTGGTTAGAAGGATTATGAGATTCGAGAAATGCAACGAACCCAGATGAGCTTTTTCGAAAAATTTAATGTATTTTTATGGTGTTTTACGAGTCGCTGATTAAATCTTCATGCCTTTTGATGGTTGGTTCACCAACTTCAGCGACAACTCTCATACCACCAGATCCCCATATAAGTGATTCTTACTGATGTTTTGTTGTATATTTGGAGATCGTATACTTTGATTGCTGGGGCGTGCATTCACCTTCCGACGTACAAGGTAAAAATTACATCCGACTGCAAAATTGGCATGCCCCAAGTGTAAATTGTAGTCCAGTACCCAGTGGAATTTGGAGTCTCATCCATGAAAATACCGAAATGGTGAGATTCATCGACTCTGAGCCAAAATTTACCCTGAAGGCGGCAAACTGATACCTCTGTATAGTCACTATAGTACTGTGTATAGTGGTTACAATTTAAGCCAGCCAATTAAAAGAAATTTTTTTTGGAGATGAAACCAATTAAAGTATGTGATTTTGCCTTTCTTCTGGTGATATCTTCTGGGTGCCATTTGCTTTTCTTCCGCACTAACTGAAATCACATCCTATTTAACTTTCTAATGACCACTTAAATTTAATTAGCGATTTTTTAGTCTTCTGTTCGTAATATTAACCTAACTTTGCTTATTGTCGTCTTGACCATTAACGTATGTAATTAACACTATCTAGTTCATCTTTTTTGTTATTTATGCGTCACAAAAAATCTAGATCTTTATTTACAGGCCTCCAAGGCACCAACATTTACATATACAAGTTTAGTCTTGCCTTTCATTTGTAACTTAATATTTCAAGCAGTTTCTCGTCATTCATGATTTTGGGATAAAATCTATTAGATAAGTAACTATATAAATGCGGTCTTATATGTGAAGAGATCAGTTATATAATTCAGATACGAAACATATGCAAATAAAAATAAGATATCGGGAGTTATAGAGATAGTTGGAATTGGGCAAGGAGGTCAGAAAATAGATGGATGTTTGCAGGGAACCTGCTTTGCGACTTGTGAGAGCTGCCTAGGTGTGATATGCAACAGATGCAAATAAAAGTTAGATATCAGACAAGTAGAAGATAGTTTAAAGATAGTTGGATATTAGGCAAGGAGGTGGAAACTTAGTTGCTGCCTAAAAAGTTTCCTGATATGGTGCAGCGACTGAAAATGTAACGAGTTTCATCTCTTAAGTTATAGTAAAGAAAAGAAAAAGAATCGATTAATGTGGTTTTTCCTATCCTTCCTATTATTATAGAGGCCAAAAGAACCCTAGACGTTTTCTTTAGTCAACCAACCTTTAGGGCTTTCTAGAAGATTTTACTAATTCAACTTTGAAGCATATATTCCCTCTGGAGCCAAGTTAACCATGCATTTCAGCCCAGTGACGGAAACTTCGTCATCAGCTATGTTCCACAACTCTTTCGTGTGTTATTTTTTTTGCCTAAACCCAACATCCACATCTCCATTTAGTTATCTAGATTCTCTATTATAAACCTGCAAAAGATCCTTATATTCATAGTCATGGAGTTGTCTATCATATCAGTAAAATATCATTACTTGCATGAACAATTCTTATTTGCTTGTATAGGCTATTTTCAGAATCTCCAGGACAGAATTTAAATTTGTTGACTACCTCCTTCTGAATCCTGATACATGCGATTGGAGGTCTGTATATGTTCTTGTTTGGTGTACCTGAAATTACTTGCCTGCTAAAGTGGCACACTGTTCTTATTTCATTTAATTTCTAAAAACGTAGACTAAGTGTAAAGCTAGAATATTTTCTAATTAATATCAGAATTTGTGGCACTTATTGAAGCTACCACATGTTATCAGTTGGTGTGAAGAGGTGGGCAGTTCTATATATCTTGAGCTTGCACATTATGTTAACTGGAAAGCTTTTTGTCAATAATTAGACATGATAAATTTATTAGATAATCTGATTTAACTGCCACTGTTAATGGAACTCATCTGAGAAGACTTCTGTTGAAGTTATGTTCAAGTGATCATTTTGTGGCCTTGTCAATAAAATCATTCGAGCTCATTATCTATACTATAAGATTCTCCTTATATTGGTCAATATTAAGATACTATCATTTTGAATTCTCTCCTCTATTTTTTAGATATTGCTAGTTTACCGTGTGGATATTAATTATGAAGTTTTCCCTCATTTTAAGCCTGCTACTTGGTTTATCGTAACATTGATGTGACTGTGTTTCCTGCAGAGCAACCCACAAGCAGACTTGCCCTGGTTTGTGGAGCACTTTTGAATTTCTGATCAGTGGTAAACTTATGAAGTGCTTAAAGTAATTCAAATTGCTGAAAGTTGTTCCCATGGGCGCAGACAAGCAACATGGCAGTCCATTTCTTGAGACCCTCAAAATGGAGAGGGTCAGGACAATTCTGACACACTCATACCCTTATCCTCATGAGCATTCAAGACATTTTCTGACTGTGGTAATAGTGGGGTGTCTATTCTTCATCTCATCCGATAACATGCACACGCTCATACATAAGCTGGACAGCAATATTAAATGGTGGTCCATGTACCTCTGTTTAATTGGTTTTTTCTATTTCTTTTCATCACCATTCATCGGGAATACAATTAAACCAAGTTATTCAAATTTTAGCCGTTGGTATGTATACTAGTCCTTTTACTATTTATCAATGCATATTTCTTTCACCAAACATGGAAATATCCTCTATAGTTTTTATAGATTATTGTCATTCTTATGCAAATATTTATCTTCATACGAGGGTTCTTAAGGAATATATAACGTTATCTTTGTAAATTGACCCTATTGCAGGTATATTGCTTGGATTTTCATAGCAGCTCTCTACCATCTTCCTAGTTTTCAGTCAATGGGAGTGGATATGAGAATGAATCTTTCTCTATTTCTTACAATATATATTTCATCAATCATTTTTCTTCTTGTTTTCCATCTAATATTTCTTGGACTTTGGTACATTGGGCTTGTTGCTCGAGTGGCTGGAAGGAGACCAGAGATTTTTACTCTCCTACAAAATTGTGCAGTAAGTGATCACCTTAATTTGAGCTGCAAATAAGTCAAATCATGCATCTCTCTTTTCAGAATTTCGCAGAGTTCATGATTGATATCGCCCATCTGCCTCAAACAGGTCATAAGTATAGCATGCTGTGTTTTTTACACCCATTGTGGTAATCGTGCTGTTCTGCGTGAGAAATCTTCTGAAAGGAAAAAAATTAGTCAAGAAAATTTTCCATTTTGGAATCAAGAAGATGGAAACATCTGGACATCAAAATTTCTCCATTTGCATCAGTTCAAAGATCAGGTTTGCTCATCTTGGTTTGCTCCAGTTGGATCTGCCAGTGATTACCCTCTTTTATCTAAATGGGTAATTTATGGAGAGGTAGGGTACTGCCATTCTAAGTTCAATGTCCTATCTTTGAGTTTATGGAGCCATTCAAACATGCATTCAGCTGCTCTTCACTGTTCTAATTGTTAACTTTCTCAGTTAGTCTGTACTGGATCATGTGCTGGGCCCTCAGATGAAATATCCCCATTGTATTCATTATGGGCAACCATTATTGGCCTTTATATGGCTAATTATGTGGTGGAGCGGTCTACTGGGTAAGTGATATCATCTGATACTAATTTATGTGATAGAGTTCCCTTCTATACTTAATAAGTATTGGAAATTTGGCCATCATTTTTGAATGTTGTCCAGGACATTTCATATGACAGAAAGTATGAACCTTCATAATTGCTAGATGTAGACTAGTATATCCACTTTTCCCTCCTTTCTCACTCTTCTTTTTTATAGGACTCAGACCTTTCCCACTATATAATTTATATCCAGGCTCAGGTCACGTGAATGAGACTGGCTTGTCAGCAATAATAGCTTAATCTTGTTAATGAGCGAGATTAGGTGGAAACAAATTCAGGAAAAAATTTAGTTTTGAAGATGATAATTATGCTAAACCTTAAGATGTATATGGCACACAATATTACTTTACAGCTAGCATTAACTTTTTCTAGTATGCATTTTCTGAATCTGGCAGATGGGCTCTAACCCACCCTTCAACGCTAGCAGAATCTGACAAGTTCAAGAAGCCAATGAAACCTGATTTTCTGGATATGGTTCCTTGGTATTCAGGGTATGCTATTTCTAGTTTTCTTCTCTTTTGAAATGTCTCATGTGGATCTGAAGATTAATTGATGGTTATGGCCTGAATTGGCCTTTTATTCAGGACGTCAGCGGATTTATTTAAGACAGCATTTGATGTCCTAGTATCTGTGACACTCTTTGTTGGCCGTTTCGATATGCGTATGATGCAGGTAAGCTTGAATTTTCTGGACACTTATGTTTGTTAATGCTACTATATTCCTTTTGAACAATGCTTAAATATTCCAGCTTCAGTCAATTGTTACTTTAGCTTTATTCATTATAACAACAAGGTTCATTGATCTTATTCATAAGTTATCCTTATCTTTATTTCAATTAATGTTGTTTCTTTGTACGGCCCACTG